ATGTTTCTGGAACATACTGTGTTTACTTGAATTCTAAAGATGTGAAGGTCTGGGATAACAACACAGAAAGAAGTGGGCCAATAAAATGTTGGGAAATGCCGAGGCATTCACGGCCCCTCCTGCACAGTCTGGGTGTGGGAGGGAAACAGAGGCCTGCGTTACAATGGACAAATGAGCCATTCAGCCGCGAGGATAATAGGAACGTTGTGGGCGTTCTGAAGAAAGTCTCCTATCTGCCCAGTTCCAGATGATTCAGAGCCAGTACCTTCCTCCCTTTGTCCTCAGTTTTGCTACTTTGGAAGCCAGCATATCAACTTCTTCTCAGCGAAGCCCTCCCGTTATCAGTGCGAACGGTCACAAGCCTTCTTTGTCTCACCTCTCTCTCAAGGCTCACACTGTCCAGAGAGGTCCTTTTGGTCAGGGAAGCATAACAGTTCAGCAAAGAAATATTTCTCTCTCTCTCTCTCTCTCTCTCTCTCTCTCTCTCTCTCTCTCTCTCTCTCTCTCTCTCTCTCTCTCTGTGTGTGTGTGTGTGTGTGTGTGTGTGTGTGTGTGTGTGCTTGGCACCAGTACCTTAGAAAGTGGAAATTAAAGAATGCATTTCCTATTCGGAATGAATGTGAAAAATCACCAGAGAAAACCTTAACGGGACAGAGACCCATGAAACACTATAAACACTTTTCAGACTGTCACCTCCCCACCTCTAGGCTTGCTTTGTTTCTGCTCAGCCTGTAGGATCAGACTGTATACAATATTGGCAACCACTAGGCAAGTCTGAGCATTCAAAAAATACAGGAGTCACATGATGGGCTGAAATTCTCAGCTTTAATATGCCGAGGTATGGCATCCAAAACAGATATTCTAAAAATCATCAAACTCATTCTCCTAAGTTTAAACAAATCTAAGTGAATTCATTAGTAATTGAAGAAACGAAGAGATTTAATTACTGAACACCCGGCATTTTACTCAGTGTTGGAACAGGGAGCAGATCATTACAAGCTATTAAAAAGAGCGACTCAACAATGGAAAGACACTTGAAAGTCCATTTTCATAAGTGGCTAATGATGTAAACAGAATGCAGCGAGATGCATAAATGTATGGATGGTGCTCCAGGACCTCAGGGTAAGGGAAGAGAACTTTGAAGTACAGATGTGAGGGAAACCTCCCTGGAAGAGGTTAGATGTGTGCCGAGTTTTTAAATGAGGGGGGTGGAGTGAAAGGTTTACGCGGGGAGCGGATACTGCTACCCTGCCCTCTCAGCCACTAGTGCACTCTAGATGTCATTCTCTCTCACTTCCTAGCACACTTGCTGGGACAGAAGAAGGACAAACCAGACGGCAGTGAGTTCTTCCATGAAATTCCCACTTACCAGCTCAGCCTAGCCCCCACTTGCTTACTCGTTTGTTCACTTCATGGTTTTGTTGTTTTGTTTTTTAGCACTAACATGTTTGGGGGGTCTGTGGTGGGCTATGGAAGAGAAACCCCCATTTTCTGTCCTTGAAGAGTTTAGGTCAGAGGCAGAGATGCAGCTCAAGTAGAGTGTGTGCCTAGTGTGCACGGACAAGATCTAGGTTCCATCCCCCGCGCCACATGGGTCACGTGTGGTGGTATACTTACATATTTCCAGCACTTGGGGAGGAAATGTCTTGTTTTCCTTCTGAAGCGTCACAAGCCAGGCTTCCATTGTTTGCATTGCTCTCAGTATTCATTGCCTTCCAAGTTTCCACAAGAGCTCATTAAACTCTGAGCACTTAATGGCTTTTCCAGCTCAAAGCTCCAACACGCTGTAGTTTCTTCACACAAAACATTCCAAGGCATAAAAGCCACATGGTCGGGCCTGTCACAGCAACACCCCATTCTCTGGCACCATTTTATGTCCTGCTTTGCTTTTTGCTGTGATAAAAACACTGGCCATATCCAGCTTGGAGATGAAAGAGCTTGTTGGACTTATAGGTTATAGTCTATCATCAAGGGAAGCCACGACAGGAGCTGGAGTCAGGACCCCAGAGGCAGGAACTGAAGCAGAGCTCATAGAGGAATGCTCTTTATTGGCTTCCTCAGCTGCCTCTCTCATACAATCCAAGCCTACCTGCCGAGGGATGGCACTGCCCATAGTGGAAAAGGCCCTCCTCTACCAATCAGCAATCAAGAAAATGCCCCACGGACATGCCCATAGGCCAATCTGATTGAGGCAATTCCTCAGTTGAGATTCTTTTCTCCCAGATGTGACAACAAAGAATATTTGTGAGGGTATCATTATAAAAGAGACCCAAGAGAGTTAGAAACAGCCAGGCGGTGGTGGCGCACGCCTTAAATCCCAGCATTCGGGAGGCAGAGGCAGGTGAATCAGCAAGTTGGATACCAGCCTGGTCTACAGACAGAGTTCCAGGACAGCCAGTCTCAAAAAAACAAACAACCCCCCCAAAAAAAACAAAAAACAAAACAAAAAACCCAAAACAAAACAAACAACAACAAAGAGTTAGATGCTTCCTTCCACTATCTGAGGAAAGAGTGAGAAGGTATGTAACCTAGAAAGTAGGTCCTCACTTGTCCTGATTCAGTTAGCACCTAGATCTTTGTCTTCTGAGCTTCTAAAACTGTAAGAAGTAAATAACTGAATGCAAGTCATGCACTTACATACATGAAGGCAGAGCACTCATACACATGAGATAAATTAATCTTTAAGCTAGGCAGTACTGACACATGTCTTTAATCCAAGCACTTGGAGAGGCAGAGGCAGGCAGATCTCTGTGAGTTCAAAGCCAGCCTGCTCTACAGAGCAAGTTTTAGGACAGGCTCCAAAGCTACACAGAGAAACCCTGTTTTGAAAAACAAAAATAAATAAAGGAAGGAAGGAAGGAAGGAAGGAAGAAAGGGAGGGAGAGAGAGAGAGAGAGAGAGAGAGAGAGAGAGAGAGAGAGAAAGAAAGAAAGAAAGAAAAGGAAGGTCAGTCTTTAAAGGGGCTGGAGGAGAAGCCTGTCGTCAGTGGCGCATGCCTGTAATCCTAGCATTCGGGAGGCAGAGCCAGGCGGATCTCTGTGGGTTCGAGGCCAGCCTGATCTACAGAGCGAGATCCAGAACAGGCACCAAAACTACACAGAGAAACCCTGTCTCAAAAAAAAAAAAAAAAACAAAAAAAAACAAAAAAAAAAAAAACAACCGGCGCACGCCTTTAATCCCAGCACTCGGGAGGCAGAGGCAGGCGGATCTCTGTGAGTTCGAGGCCAGCCTGGTCTACAGAGCGAGATCCAGGAGAGGGGCAAAGCTACACAGAGAAACCCTGTCTCGAAAAACCAAAAAAAAAAAAAAAAAAAAAAAAAAAAAAAAACAAACAAAAAAAAACCCACAAAAAGGTGGGGTGGGGCTGGAGAGATGGCTCAGGGTTAAGAGTACATCCTGCCTCTTTGGCAGAGGACCTGAATTCAATTCCCAACACCCATATGGAGTGGCATACAGACGTCTGTAACAATCCCTCCAAGAGATCCAATGCCCCTGGGCTCCATGGGCCCCTGTGTACAGACACACACACAGTTTAATTTTAAAATATTGCAAAAAAGTAATTTGTTATTGCCTACTATAACCTGCATAGCTCGTAGTGTTTTGTTACAGTAGCCTGGCAATGTAGTAAGACAATACATAGAGACTATGGTCGGTTTCATACATCTGGGTGTGAACCATGGGGAAAACCTAGCGGCAGGCTCAGCTGAGAATGCCGGGTCCTCCAAGGGCCTGAGGCTTCAGTTGCTGGTTCTGGACGCCCTCTAGTGGTACATGAGTTCGGTGCTTTAGATGGTGCTCACAGAATCGCCAGATTTGGGACCACAGAACTATTATAATGCTTTTTCTTTTCAAGGTTTTCTTTTCCTTTTTGGCGACATCTTCCCATTCTGTAGGTCAGGCTGGCCTAGACCTTACTGGGTAGCTCAGGTTGGCCTGGAAATTGTGATAATCCTTATGTAGGCTCCCAAATGTTGGGATACAGGTGTGAGCCACCACACCCGGCTTAGAAAGGTTTTCGACAAGACTTTGTCATTGTAGGTATGATAAATTCGGACATACAAATGTTTGAACCAATACCTTGAAAAAATGGTCTGACTGAAAGGAGCAGGCTGGATTTCCTGGCTGGCAGGGAAAGGCATCTGTAGCTCTATGGAGAATGCGTGAACAAGAGTGGAAAGCTGAGGAACAGAATCCCTTGTGGATATCTGGGGCACAAGGAGAGGAGTGGCTGTTTTAGCGGGGAAGTTGGGTATTTCCTGGCTAAGGTCAGAGGACTTTATAGTTTGACCCCGAATGGGACCAGCTTCTCCATGCCACACAAAACAGTATGTACTCTCCTCTGCTTCCTATCCCTACCAGCATAGCCTCTACCTCTGTTAAATCAGTGCAGAACTCTGCAAGGTTAAGCTAGCTCCAATAGTCTCCTCATGTGTACTTCCCTCTGTTGGCATCCGTTATGATCACTGGCTGTACCTTTCACGCGACCGTGCTCAAAATATGCAGAGAAAACCTCTCAAGATCATCCTCATTAAACTTTCATGTCCTGGTCAGTTCTATACCACAGCTATCCGCAAGTACGCTAACTTTCACATGCACCCCTTCATATACTGCAGATGGCTATGTCTTATTAGGTCTTCTTGCCCGTGTCTAGAGGCTCCGAGCTTTTTGGAACGAGAATAAAAGAGGTTTCGTCAGTTGTGGGCACCATGATTAAGTTGGCAGGTGTTTTATTTACACCTCAGCAGCCTGTCTTCCCCGCCCTCCACCCCCGACGTCTTTTCACTTCACAAAATGCAAAGTCTTATTGAAGAGTCAGAAAGCAGAGACCTGACACTGATGTGGCAGCCAAAATACAAGCTTATGCCCTTGTGGAGCGGCCTTGCGTCTGTCAGATGCCAGTTTAGATTGGTCTCCGTAAGGCTGCTGGACAGACAGACAACGCGAGTTCTGTCAAGTTCATGGAGACCCAGCCTCCTCACTTTCCCATAAGCCCTTTCGACCGTCAATCAGAAGCTTGGTTTTGTTTTGTTTCATGGCGCATGCGCGCCGCCTGCATCCGGCAGCCGGGGAGAATTGCTGCCGGGCTCTCCTTGGCGTGGTTCTGCCGGTCATGGCTCCGGACTCCGGGCCCTTCCCTGATGGACAGACTTTGAAGCTGCTGCCGGTGGATCCCCGGGACCGGGGTACCCAGCGCTGCCGCCTGGGGCCGGCGGCCCTCCGCAGCCTGGGCGCCCGCCTGGGCTCGCCGCTGAGGATCTCGTTGCCCGCCGGCGGCTGCTGCCTCTGCACGGCCTGGCCCCGGCGCGACGGGGCGGACGGCTTTGTGCAGCTGGACCCGCAGTGCGCGAGCCCCGGGGCCGCGGCAGCAGCGGGCAGGATCAGTCTGGACAGCTTGCAGCCGGTGCCCTGTCCGCCGCTGCGGCGCCTCGAGGTGTGGCCGGCGCTGCGACCGCAGGCGGGAGCCCCGAGCCCCGCTGCGGTGCTGGAGGTAGCGCACGAGCTGCTGCGCCACCGGCCGGTGTCGCGGGGGCACGTGGTGGCCACCCCTCCGGGCGTCCCCGGCCCCGTGGCAGCGCTGCACGTGGTGGGCGGGACACCGGACCCGGAGCCCGCCGGGTTGGTGACACCGCACACCCGCATCACGCTCAGCGACAAGCCGCCGCCGCCGCCGCCGCCGCAGGTCGAGCCTCCCGGGGAGGTGGCCCTTGGGGGCCTGTCGGAGACGGCCGACTCCCTGCGGGAGCTGCTCCGCCTGCCGCTGCGCTACCCGCTCGCCCTCGCCGCGCTTGGGCTGGCGGTGCCTCGCGGGGTGCTCCTGGCGGGACCCCCGGGAGTGGGCAAGACCCAGCTGGTGCGTGCCGTGGCGCGCGAGGCGGGCGCCGAGCTGCTGGCGGTGAGCGCCCCGACCTTGCAGGGCGCCCGGCCCGGGGAGACCGAGGAGAACGTGCGGCGCGTCTTCCAGCGCGCTCGGGAGCTGGCCAGCCGCGGGCCCAGCCTCCTCTTCCTGGACGAGGTGGATGCCCTGTGTCCCCGGAGAGGCGGCCCGCGGCGAGCCCCCGAGAGCCGCGTGGTGGCCCAGGTGCTGGCGCTGCTGGACGGCATCCACGGGGATCGGGAGTTTGTGGTGGTGGGAGCCACTAACCGGCCAGACGAGCTAGACCCAGCGCTGCGCAGACCCGGGAGGTTTGACCGAGAGGTAAATAGCCCGCTCTGGTGAGAGCCCCTGGTCTCTGGAAGCTCACCTTGTTCGACAGCTGGGTCAGGCAGGATTTGTAGATCTCTTGTGACTTGTGAGCCAGAACCTGATTATTCTAGAGTCAAATCATTCTGGGAAGCAGGATGGTCATGAACTTTGCTGTGCGGGTCATGAAGGTGAATAATAATAATAATGTTAATTCTTAAGGTAACTAAGCCTGTTGCAAGCATATTAAACTGAAATAGTGTTGGAATGAGAACTTAGTCACAGTAAGAGGAGGCAGGAAAGGCAAATAAAAGCAGGCTTTAGCCACTAAATGTGTTCATTCCTGGTCAAGATACCAGCTTCCTGTTCTACAGTTGACTTCCTGGGTTGTCAAGAAAGTTGAATGTTCAGAGCAGCCTTGTTTTATGAGCTTTTGGTCCTCAAGTGATTTTTTTTTAATTAGTAATTAAGAAATATGTGAATTTTGTGGTAGGACTTTGCAGATAGATAGCAATTGCATACTTCTTAACTCTTTTGAGGACTTGAGTGGGTTTCTTCCTTGTACCTAATACCTTGTATTAGAGGCTCTTCTTCCAAAGAGCAAGCACCTGGATTATCTGGCCTATTGTTTGACCCCCATCTGCCAGAACTTGGTGTGTTTTCAAAAAAACAACAAAGATTTCTTCTGTGGAATTTATAATTTTCATTGTTTAAGTTCCCAGCCTCTCTTGCTCCATTGGGCAATTAGTATATTTTTATATTCAGAATCTAAGGTGTGCTTAAAAGTTCATGACGAGTCGGGGTGGTGGTGGTGGTGGTGTATGCCTTTAATCCCAGCACTCTGGAGGCAGAGCCCGGCGGATCTTTGTGAGTTTGAGGCCAGCCTGGTCTACAGAGCGAGCTCCAGGAAAGGCGCAAAGCTACACAGAGAAACCCTGTTTTGAAAAACCAAAAAAAAAAAAAAAAAAAAAAAAAAAAAAAGTTCATGACGTAAGTTCCAGAATGACTTGCTGAATTACTGTACGTATTTGTGAGGATGCTTTTAAAGAAAGGTTTTACGTTGTATACTTTAAATTTTCTGTTTTTTGCTTTGCCTGTAGGTTGTCATTGGGACTCCCACGCTTAAACAAAGAGAGACAATTCTGCAAGTGATTACTTCGAAGATGCCCATCTCCAGTCACATTGATTTCAGTCTCCTGGCAGAAATGACAGTTGGCTATGTCGGTGCTGACTTGACGGCACTCTGTAGGGAGGCTGCCCTGTGTGCCCTTCTTAAGCATGAGAAGGTAAGAAGTGTTGACTTACGACCAGCTATGTTATTCTTCCTATTAATATGACAAATTAATTTGGAGGTTAAAAGAAGTGGTAAGTACAGTACATTCCTTGGCATAGTTGGCAGTCTCCACAGCTGTTTGTGTGTGTGTGTGTGTGTGTGTGAACATATATCATGTATACACATTTATCTCATGTACATATATATATATATTTATATCTCAATGTCACATATAAATATATGATTGAAGATGAGGAAATGGCTGAGTCTTCCAGGAAGTCTCTTCAGTGAATTTTCTTCACTTGTCACAGTAACTCCCTAGAGCTAGAGCCTGGAGCAGCTAGGAAAGATGGTGTCCTTCAGAAGAATCTGACAGATTTCAATTTCAAGTTCTTTTTCCCCAGACACGGTTTCTCTGTGTAGTTTTGGTGCCTGTCCTGGATCTCGCTCTGTAGACCAGGCTGGCCTCGAACTCACAGAGATCTTCCTGGCTCTGCCTCCCAAGTGCTGGGATTAAAGGTGTGTGCCACCGCCACCTGGCCCAAATTTAAAATTTTTAAGCAGCAACCTTAGACTTACACAGAAAGGTGGAAAAATGGAACTAACAGATTGTGTCTAGCTTCCACCCAGATAATCCAGCAGTAACATTCTACTGTATTTACTTTATCATTTCTTTCTTTGCGTGTTTGGGTTTACATATGTGTCTGTTTTTTTGAAACATTAAGAAATAACCCACAGGCATGATACCACAGCAAGAATTTTAGTTATTGATGATTAACTTCAAAGTTAACTTTGATTTCTAGATTAAGATGGTATCTATAAGATTTCTCCCTTGCTGAGATACCGGTTTTTTTCTTTTTCTTTATTATTGATAAATATCTATGGGAAAAATAGAGTTTCCTAATCCAAGAGACACTGAGTACTTGGAATTGTATTTTCTTCAAGATTGTCACTGATTTTCAAATTTTGAATTCTTAATTACTTTAAAAATATTTAGGATTATCTTAAATGTAATATTTTTCAATACTATTAATTTAAAAATCAAGTCATTTAGTATCTGATAACCCGAGTCCCTAAACCTCTTCAGCAAATAATAATTTCAGCAGTTGAGGATTCCGGGACATTTCAACTTCATTTATAGCATCCTAAATTATTTTCAGCTAAATAATTTATATCTTTCCTAACTTTTCCGTTATTTTTATCCTAGCACTGAAGGTGAGAGGAAGTTCAATCTGCTAAGTCCTCATCTTAATGGCTTTGGTACCAGACTGCTTAGAGCTTTAATGAGACCCTGTGTAAAGCTGTGAGACTGTATGTCCTTTGTAGGGAAAGATGAGAGTTCCAAAGAGGGGCAGGGAGGCACATTTAGGATTCCCTTTGCTTTGAAGTTCCAGGCTTGGTCTTAAGCATCTCTGGCTTGGGTGGACCAGCCAGCTCACTGCTACCTGAGGAGGGGCCTCCCTATGAAGTCTAGTCACCACAGGTGATGGCTGAGTTCAGAAACAAGCCAGGGAAGTGGAAGGAAGTAGGGACAGAGACATCTGGTAAGGTACTGGCTTGTCTTTTTTTCTCCCACTAGGCAGGCGAGGGGCTTGGTCTGTACCAGGGCAGACGAGGAATCTGTTAGTTTTTCTGAAATAGTCCAGTTGAGGAACTAGGAGCATAGTTTAATAAATACAGAGGAAAAGGGGATTTGTATGCCTGCAAGGGCGAAGAACGTCAAATGAAATGGTGAGTGTACAGTGGTCTTGAAGTGAGATTTTCAAATGCTACTTGATATTATCTAAAAATTAACTAGTATTCGGTGCCCAGGATCTAAAACTGCCAGCCAGTAAAGCAAAGAAACAAAAGAGAACACAATGGTTATGTATCCCATAAGTCTTTTCATCCACAGAAGAACAAATGCACAACTGTGACAAAGTCAGCTGATGAAAGTTTGTCAGAATGTGTCCCCATCAGACATGACTGAAACTCAACAGGGTAGCAAAGTGTAAAGAAAGTGAACTTTGCCTAAGACATCACCCTAGAGGTGACAGATGCTGACATTTTTAAATAATACTGTTCAGAATAGGTCTACCATAAGTATCCACTTTCATGGTCTTATATAAATGGGATAAAATAGTTGAAAATGAGAGCTTGTAGACAACCCAACACTTAGAATTTGATATGAAGGCAAATTATTTAACAGCAATATAGGTAAAATGGAAAGGAATGTAAGGAGCTTTTAACTAGCCAAAATTGTGCTTTGCTGAAGTGGATCAAGAAAATTGTAAAATGCCGGGCGGTGGTGGCGCACGCCTTTAATCCCAGCACTCGGGAGGCAGAGCCAGGCGGATCTCTGTGAGTTCGAGGCCAGCCTGGGCTACCAAGTGAGTTCCAGGAAAAGGCGCAAAGCTACACAGAGAAACCCTGTCTCGAAAAAAACCAAAAAAAAAAAAAAAAAAGAAAATCGTAAAATAATACCCAGTGTTAGCAGGAAGATGGCCTCTGAGTATAACAAAAGGAGCCAGTGAGGACTTGCTAATTTGAACATTTGGAGTCGGACAAACAAGCAAACTTAAGACCAGAGAAAGAACTTTCAGCCCATTTCCTTCCTATGGAAAGAACGTTTAAAGACAGGACAGGACCAGCAACCCAAGAGAAAAGATATGGACAGTAAAACACCGGGAAACATGATAAATCTGCTTTTTTTTTTTTTTTTTTTTGGTTTTTCGAGACAGGGTTTCTCTGTGTAGCTTTGCGCCTTTCCTGGAACTCGCTTTGGAGACCAGGCTGGCCTCGAACTCACAGAGATCCGCCTGGCTCTGCCTCCCGAGTGCTGGGATTAAAGGCGTGCGCCACCACCGCCCGGCTCTGCTTTGTTTTTTTAAAAGTCATTTCAAGTTTTTTTTTTAACTTTTTATTTTTGAAATCATTTTAATTTTATTGGAAAGTTGCAAAATAGTTACAGAGAACTTTAACCAGATCCTTTATCCAAATTCATAACTTTTAACATTTTGTTAAGTTAGCATTATCACTCTCTTATCCATCGTGTGTGTGTGTGTGTGTGTGTGTGTGTGTATGTGTTTATGTGTGTGTGTGCGTGCGCACGTGTATGCATGTGTGCACATTTGTGTATGTGCATATTTTATATTTTATAGGGGTCACTTGAGAATATTTTATTAATCTGAGCTTTGTGACTTTGACATGAGTGATTCAGGTTAGTTATTTTGTAGAATGGTTAGATTCCAGGTATACATCCCTGCTGGGAACAGTACATAGTCAAGACTGTGTCTTTACCACGTGGAGGCACATACCCCTCAGCTGCTCATTGGTGTTATGGACTGAACCAGGCGATATCTGTTTCCTCTGTGGAGCTATTGTGTGAAGAGACGCTTTGAAATGTGAAGGTGTCCTCTTATAGGTGTTCTTACTCAGAATAGCTTTTCTAGAACGTTGCAAAAACCGATGACTTTCTAATTGTTATTTCTTCTACTTCACTCTGAATTGAAGAAAGTTAACACAGTGTTGAGTATCATTTCTTCCTGTCACTTCCTTGCAAACTTAAGTATTTGTTCGAGTCCTCGGAGAAAACAGCTTCCTGTAGCTGGAGGAGCAGGAGTGACTCTGGCTTCTTAAGAGGACAGTCGGTTAACAGCTGTAGCTGTCCCAGTTTAACCCTTGACCTTGTGAGCTCAGTGTGTCCTCTTTGAGGAGGTGATTTTCTAAGATGCTTGAACTTGAGAGTAGTGATAATTTGATTTATATGTTCAAAAGAGATTTTTTTTTTTTTTAGTTCCTTATGTGTGTATACTATAGAAAGGGCCTACCTAATTTTTGGCTTGATTTTTTTTCTTTTGGGGATATTTTTCTTCAGAACCAAGACAGTCCTAAGATTGATGAAACAGACTTTCTTGAAGCCTTGAAAAAGATTCAGCCCTCATCGTTTCGGAGTTCTGTTGGACTGATGGACATCAAGCCTGTTGGCTGGGAGCAGATAGGAGGACTTGAGCATGTAAAGCTGAAGTTAAAGCAGGTAATGGTTACTTATTAGCTTATCCCAGCTGATTCCCAGAGTAGCATTCTGTGTCTAAAATGAAAATGCTGTGATCAAACTGCTCTTGGCATCTTACCCAAATTCCTGCTCATGTGGTCTAGTCTTTATTTAACTAGACTTCTAGAGACATCAAAACTAGTTTTCATGTTTCCCCGTCTTAACGCTCTTTTAAAATTTTTGCCTTAAAGAGTTCATTATAATCTAGAACACAGGTCAACAGAATTCCTGTGACGAGCTGGATAGTAAATGCTTTAAGTTTTGAGACATGCAGGCTGTCAGCCATTCATTTGCCGCTGTAGTTTGAGAGCAGGTAAATGAGAACATTTGGCCTGTGTTTCCATAGTTCTGCAGCTATGGATTCAACCAGCTGTCCAAAATACTGTATGCACTGAACAGATCATTTTTTTCTTGTTATTTTTCCCTAAATAATACAATATGCTGACTATATACATGGTATTTACATTATTTGTGTATTATAAGTGATAGAGATAATTTACAGCAAATGGATGTAGGTTATATGCAAATACTATGCTTTTTCTCCTGTGTGCTGGAGTTTGGAGCTGTGGGGAGCCTTTCCTATGGGCTTGTCTCATTTCATGGTCACAATAGTAAAGTCTGACAGACATCAGCCACACTCCTTTGTTATGTTCTGTTAGCCTGGCTGTGGCACTTTCCTACCTTTCTGGGCTCTCTTCTCCCTTCCCTGAAATGTTGGTGCTCTGAGAGACTCGTGGACATCTTTCTTTAAAATTATTTTCATTTTATGCATATTAGTATTTTGGCTGCATGTATATATGGGCATCACGTCCATACATGCCTTCTGCCTATGGCAGTCAGACGAGGGTGTCAGATGCCCTGGGCTTGGAGTTATGGATGGTTGTGAGCCACCATGTAGGTTCTGAGAACCAAACCTAGGGCCTTTGCAAGAGCAACATGTGCTCCTAACCACTGAGCATCTCTCCAGCCCAGACACCCTTTCTGCAGTCCAAGGTGATGGTCACAGTGTCCAAAACTGTTCTTAGCTATCCCTTGAAAAGTCTTGAGTAGACTTTTCTTGAGGTCATTAGGACTGCTTAGCTGTCAGTCTGCTAGATAACCACAGGGCTGTCAACATGTCATGTCCAGGGTCCAGTTAATGCCAGGTGTAGGGCATTTGCCTTTAATCCCAGGACTTGGGAGGCAGAGGCAGTTGGATTTAGGAGTTTGAGGCCAGCCTGGTCTACATAGTGAGTTCCAGGATAGCCAGAGCTACATAGTGAGACCCTGTCTCGAAAAAAAACCAAAAAGCAAACCAAAAAGTAGAGTACAGCTAATCAACGCCCCCTCCACATCTAAGGTTCCCTGTCTGGGTGAATGCAGTCAACCAGCAGTTCCCTGTGGGAAGAATGGTGACAGCACTCTGAAACGCAGTTCCTTATGTTTCAGTGACAGTCAGTCTGCCTTACCATCTTCATGCCTCACAATTTTTGTGGCATGAGTCATTGCCAGAGATCTCTGGCCTGTCTGAGTTCCCTGCCTCAGTTTCCTTTCCTTCCAGTGCGCTCCACATATTTCCACATTGCTAATTGGAACTTGCAGGGCCCATTGTGGTCTAACGCCACTTTCCTCCATTGGTCTGCTCGCTGCTGGGACAGGCGAGTGGATGGTTTCAGGCGTCTCTCTTTGTAGTAGCCCTTCTCCTTGGAGGCCTGTTTCGGCCTGGTTGTTGCCCTTGGATCAAAGCTCTCACTTTCCACTCTTCTTTCTTTCTCGAGGCCCCACTGTCAGTTCTGCCGCCCCTCTGGCAGTAAGTTGGACACTTGCTAGTAGTTAAGGTTTATGTCTAACTTGTATCGTGTTTCCGAGTCTGTAAAATGATTGTAAAGTCGTTACCTTTGAGGTGTGTCGGACTTCTTCACTCTTCAGTAACATTTACTGAGTGCCTGCTTGAGGCAAGTGTTACTCTGGCTATTGAGGATTTAGGTGTGAACTCTGCTGATTTTGTAGCAAGAACAGAGTGACCAATCCCACCTGGAAAGAGAATAGTAATGAAGTATAATGTTCTAAGTAAGGTGGAAGGCAGTACAGGCTGTGGCTGGGAGAAGGGGACTCTACTCTACCCAGGGTTCTTGGGGAAGACTTCTCCAAGCAGGTCATTTGAGTTAAGGCTTGAGAGATAGAGATGGGGATAGAGAGATGGCTCAGCCGTTAAGAGTACTTGTTGCTCTTGCAGAGATCAGATTCAATTCCCAACACCCATATGGTGACTCACAACCATCCTTAACTCCAGTTCTAGGGGATGCAGTGACTTCTTCTGACCTCTTCAGAGACCAGGCATGCACATGATGCACAGACATACATGCAGGCAAAACACCCAAGCACACAAATTAAAAGATAATTAAAAGTTTAAAAAGAATAGCACAGAGAACTATTGGGAGAACACTCAGGCGTCGCATGGTATCCCAAGTGAAAGCCGTTGGGTGCAGATGAGCCATGTAGTAGGGACCCGGGTTCCTGGGCTGGTGGGGATGGGAAGCTGTTTCGGCTCATCGGGCTCAGGGAAGTGCCGGATGCGGGAAGGGATTTGGCGTGTGCCTGCTACACTAACATTTCTCTGTCTCCCTGCCTGTTGACAGTGTGTCGAGTGGCCTCTGAAGTTCCCTCAGGAATTTGCTAGGATGGGTCTGAAGCAGCCAAAGGGCCTTCTCCTCTACGGTCCCCCTGGGTGTGCTAAAACCACTCTGGTGAGGGCCCTGGCCACAAGCTGCCACTGCTCTTTCGTGTCAGTGAGCGGAGCCGACCTCTTTTCACCTTATGTTGGAGATTCAGAAAAAGTCTTGTCTCAGGTTTGTTTATTTTTAAGTATTGTTTTTCCCTAGTTGTAAAAGTTATCCATGCTTGAGTTTAGATAAGAGCCCTCCTCCCTGTAATCCTCCCGCCTATCACTACTATCTCTCTGATTTTGAATAAGGTTGAGGTAAGGTTTTATCGTTCTGCAATTTTATCCTTTTAAAATTTATTTTTAATTAAGTTATTACATATGTGTGTGTCCATGTGTGGTATGTGCACTTGTGTGCAGGTACTCACATAGACCAGAAGAGGAGGCCGGATCCGCTAGAGCCGGAGTTGCAGGGGATTATGAGTCACCCAGTGTGGGTACTAGCAGGGCCTCTGTACTCAGGGCCTCTGTAAGAGCAGTAAGCACTCTTAACCCCTTAGCCATCTCTCCAGCCCTTTTATCTTGGTTTTTAAAGTTAAACATTTGTCATCAGGTGGGTGTGGTGACATATTCCTTTAATTCAATACTCAGGAGACAGGGACAGGCAGATTTCTATGAGTTCCAGGGCAGCCTGGGCTACATAATGAAATCCTGACTTAAAACAACATTATCACTTCTGAAATTCCAGTTAAATGTCTTTTAAGAAGACAACTTTTTAACCGCTCTCATTGGCCCTTGTTTTATTTACTAATTCCCCAATTCTTAAGCACTTAGAATCTTCATTTTTCTGTTTTAATGATTGCAAATAACAAAATGAAAATAGTCACCGGAATGGCGTGTGACATTATGTTTTTTTTCCCTCACTAAGGTATTTCGACAAGCAAGAGCCAATACTCCAGCGCTTGTGTTTTTGGATGAAATTGACTCAGTCTTGGGGTCTCGCTCAGTCGGCACCTTGGGATGTGATGCTCGGGAGCGAGTTCTTTCAGTTCTGCTGAATGAGCTCGATGGTGTGGGAGTTAGGATGGTAGAGAGAAGAGGGAGTAAATCAGACCACCAGGGTAAATACCAGGAGCTGGAAACATGAAGCGCCGTTCCTTAGCCAGAATGCACCATAGTTCCGGGCCAGAATTAAGTAGCCTTCCCGCACGGCTGCATTTCCTAGGCTGAATTCGTCTTACGGAGGGGTTTATATGATTTCACTCGAATTCTTGGGACTTTTATAGGGCTGATAAAAATTGTGATTTGGACAGAAAAAGTGAAAAGTTTTATAATTATCTTAGATTTGAATTCTCATGTGTATATCCTGAAGAAGGACTTACCCTTCTTCAGTTACAAAACCAACTAGTACTTGAGTAACTTCAGTAATTGAAAGCAAGTAAAGATGGCTTTTGGAGTCCTCTGTCTCTGTGAGCCTCTTCCTCAGATACAGTGGTTTCTTGTTGTCCCGAGAAGGCGATTTCTGATTTCTTTTATTATAGTCATATTCCTGTTTGGGCCCCATTTTTTAAATTATTCCGTAGAAGGGGCATTTTAACTACTCTGTAGAAATAAAACACTATAATTAGAAGGGACCCATGATAACCCGATCTTATGATGCAAGGATTCCTTGTACAGCAGCCCATTAGCATGCTGGGAAACTGCTGCTTTGAAGGGTAAACACTGGAGAATCACTTGGATTATTCAACTCAGTGAATGTTTTTGATTTTAGGTCTTGCCGTGTCTTACCTTTAACTGTTTCTTCTCTTGGGCTTGGGCTTGTATGTAATTCAGAGGCAGAGTGACTGCCTGGCCTGAGCAAACCCTGTGTGCTATCCCAGTACCACACAAAGTCGGATGTGCCGTACATGCTGGTAAACCCAGTGCTTGGGAGGTGTGAGCAAGGGAGCAGAAGTTTAAGGTCCTTTTTGTTGGGTAAAGAGTTTTGCAACAGCCTGGGGTATAAGAGACCCCGCTTCCAACAGAAGCACATGTTGCTTCTCCTCCAGGTTTTCATAACTGCAACTCAGGTTGATTATTTCTGCCTCTAGAAAGAAAAATGGAAAGTAAATTTCCATTGGGGATATTGAAAGCTATACCTTCCAGAACTCTGGGTCCCCATTAGTCATGCATTCCGCCTTGTAAGCAGTCTCTTTATATTGTCATTCACGGGCGCCTGAGTGGATCTGGGCACCAGCCAGTGTTCTTCCATGGCTTTTTTCATCAGTTCTCACACGGAGAAACGCCTGTCAGGACTAGCCACTCCTTTCAGACACACAGGTAGCTCTTTGATTAGTGAGTTGTTTGTGGGGTGGCTTGATACCAAGAAGGTGGCTGGGATGGCGAGTAAGCATCCTGGCTCCAAGGAGAGGTTATCCCTGTTCAGACACAGCACATTGCCATATGTGACTTACTAGAAAGGATTTTAATAACGGTTTGTTGACATTACTTTGTATTGTATGTTTTCCCTCAGAATACCAAGAAATGCTTCATCGGAATGTCATGATTGTTGTGGCAACAAATAGGCCTGACGTTTTAGATGATGCCTTGTTACGACCTGGAAGACTGGATAAGATGATCTATGTGCCCCCTCCTGATCGAGAGGTAACCACTGATGTTTCCTCTGCGCTGAGCAGTGCATCCATGTCTGCCTGGGAGCATGTCTGGCCTGAACTCCAGACTTTGTGCTCTGCTTCACTGTTCAGTGCTGGTCTCCAGTTCTTTGCTTGGTGGCTCTTCGTGAAGTCACGTCTTTGTCTGTCCATGTTGGTTCCCTGGCCCTGCCTTCAGGGAAACGCTCCTGGAAGTGGTTCCCGAGGGCACTGCATGTTACTGAGCCCTGGCCTGGAGGAGGGGCCGAAGGGGCTTTGGCAGTGTCTGGGTCTGCAGGGGTTGCAGTGTGTCTCGTCAGGAACTCCCCGAGCAACCACCTGGCAGTTGGTGAAGGGCTCCAGGAACTCAGTTTTTCTTCCTTGGGCTTTTATCAAGTTAAAGAGATTTTTTTTTAAGTAAATGTCTGATGCTTCTAAATGTATTTGATAATTCATGTGTCTGTTTCTAAGACTGTTGTGGTAGCACTGTTCCCAAAAGAGAGTCATCTTGTCTCATAAGGAGAAATGGTTATGATTGGCTACTTTAAACAGTAATTAAGAAAATACTTATTTTACCATTGCTGTGTGGACCATTAATGACTCAGTCTCTTTCAGAAGCAAGAGTGATTTTTAATTGAATATGAACACACACACACACACACACCACACACATACCACACATATACACACATACCACACATACCACACGCACAGATACACACACCATACACATATACCACGCACACAAATACACACACTACACATAGACGCCACACACCACATATCACACACACACACACACACACACACACACACACACACACACACCACACATACCACACATATACACACACACCACACATATATACCACACACACAAATACACACACTACACATAGACACCACACACCACATATCACACACACACACACACATACACACACACACACACACACACACACACACACACACACACACACACTTTGTAATATGATTAAACAATTTGAACTTCAAATGTTTACTGTATCAGTGTGGAACGTAAATGTTAAGGATTGTAAATATTTTGGTTTGGGTTTGTTTCAGGGCAGGCTGTCTATTTTAAAAGTCTGTACGACCAACATGCCAATAGGGCCTGACGTTTCACTAGAAAAGCTAGCAGCAGAAACGCGTTTTTTCTCCGGAGCTGATCTCAGAAACCTGTGCAAAGAAGTGAGTTTGTACTCTTTTATTTCCAGGCAGAAGGGGTTATTTTGGGCTTTTCTTTTTCTGTAAACTTCATTAAATATCAATTTCAGAAGAACACATAGATCTTAAGGATATAATGTTGAACCACTGTCAAGTGGCCATACTTTTATTACTGCCACTTGTGTCGGGAAGAGATTTTAGGTATTCCAGAATCTTCCTTGGACCCTTCCTACCCTCTGTCCCCTGCTGCCTTGCCCAAAGGTCACACTCTGCCCACTCCTACACTGGAGACACCCGCAGCTTTTGAGGTTTCAGTCTCTACACTCTGCCACGAAGCTTGTCTGTGGTGGGAGGGTGGAGCTGCGTCTTCCATACGTGTGCATGGCTACAAGGAGAGTTGCTGGGCCATGAAGCATGTCATCTTTTCTTTTAGGAGCATTGCCGTGTAAACTTGCTTACCTCCAGGTCACGATTCCTCTCAAATTATACACAGGAGTGTATGTTATTCTGCACTTTGCCCATTTTTTTTTTTTTTTTGGTTTTTCGAAACAGGGTTTCTCTGTGTAGCTTTGCGCCTTTCCTGGAACTCGCTTTGGAGACCAGGCTGGCCTCGAACTCACAGAGATCCGCCTGGCTCTGCCTCCCGAGTGCTGGGATTAAAGGCGTGCGCCACCAACGCCCGGCTTAAAGCTAGATTTTTAATGTACAAGAAGCTGTGGTCTAGGGTGGATTTTTAGTCACCTTAACTTTTAGCTTAGTGTCTTTGATGGCATTGAACTCCTTTGATGTGAGACCAAAGATTTACAACTGGATTGCAGTGTTGATGTTACTGTTAGTTTTAAAATGAACAAAGTAACTGTTCTCTCTTGCTTGTCTCTGTCTTCAGGCTGCCTTGTTTGCTCTGCAGGAGAACGGACTGGAAGCAACCACCGTGAATCAGGAGCACTTCGGAGAATCACTCAGGACCGTGAAGCCATCCTTAAGTCGGAAAGGCTTGACTCTGTATGAAAACCTGTTTAAGAAAGGCCTTTCTAACTTGGAAGATAATTAAATTTTTATTTTATTTGGTTTTCACTTGGTTGTGGTTTGCAACTTTACACTTTTCATAGGACTGAGAGAGACAGAGACTGAGAGAGACAGAGAGAGGCCGAGAAACTTGGCCTGGTAAAGACCATTTTGCTTCTAGAAGGTATATTAAAACGCTATAATAAAAAGTGTGTGTGTCACTTGGGAGGCAGAGCCAGGCGGATCTCTGTGAGTTCGAGGCCAGCCTGGGCTACAGAACGAGTTCCAGGAAAGGCGCAAAACTACACAGAGAAACCCTGTCTCGAAAAAACCAAAAAAACAAACAAACAAACAAAAGTGTGTGTGTGTGTGTGTGTGTGTGTGTGTGTGTGTGTGTGTGTGTGAGATTTTGTTAGGATAATTATTTTTGGGTGATCGCTTTCTGTGACTGTGGAGTGATGTCATGCTTACAGAAGAGTTGCGGGAATAGAACAGAGAACTTCCGCATTCTCAGCCCAGATTCTCCAGTTTAGCATTCTGTCAGTTGTTTTCTCTCTTCCTCCACACACTGTTTTCTGAACAGTTTGAGACTAGAATACAGTCATGCGTCACTCAGCTCGGGGATGACACTAAGAAGTGTGTCATAGCCGGGCGGTGGTGGCGCACGCCTTTAATCCCAGCACTCGGGAGGCAGAGCCAGGCGGATCTCTGTGAGTTCGAGGCCAGCCGGGGCTACAGAGTGAGTTCCAGGAAAAGGCGCAAAGCTACACAGAGAAACCCTGTCTCGAAAAACCAAAAAAAAAAAAAAAAAAAAAAAAAAAAGAAGTGTGTCATTAGGCAGTTTTGTCCTGAACGTCATAGAGTAGTAGTGTGGTTATCCAAGCAAGACAGTGACCGCACCACGAGGTGCGACAGTCGTGGGAGTTCACTGTCATACATGCCTGGCACTCAGACATCATCTGACTCGTGGCTCCGTGTGCCTGATGCTCCATTATAGCTAGTGTTAGTGGGTGTGTCTTACAAATAAAATTGTCTTATACTACAGTTCACTCACCAAACTCAGGAAGTTTAGCATCGACAGAGTATTTGGATGTATTCAGTGAGTTTCTTCTCTCTTTGTCCCAGTGATGTCCTATGTTCATCCTTTTCTGTCAGATGGTCTAGTCTGGGATTCCAGTGAGGTTAGTGGTCATGTGTTCCTGTCTTTACTTGGAAACGGTTCTCAGTCTTCAGCTTTGAAACACGTAGACCAGTGTTTTGTAGACAGTCAGCCCCTAGGTCTGTGTCTGCCAGCACTTCTCGGGTCTAGGCTTTGTGTCACCGCTGGATGTTCTCAGAGTCACCGCTGGATGTCCTCGGTGTCCCCGCCGGAGGCACAGTGCTCTCCTCATTGTTGGTGACGTTCATTCTGTCCACTCAGTGTTGTTCGGTTTCTGTATTGTATTCCTAACTTTCCTTTGTGATTGTAAGTAATCTGGGGCCATAGATTTGTCTGCATGCTTCTGTTTTTATGGACGCAATTAAGAATGAAAACCCCTTTGGTGTGTGACCTTCCCGTGCTTGAACCCCAGAAGTAATGGTAGTGCACAATTTGTTACTACTTTCCTTGCTAGCAGTGTGCAAGGAGCACCTTCACTGGGCCGTTCCTCACTCAGGGTGACATCTAGGTGCCTGTCACCGAAATGCCCAAGAAATGGCAGAGCCTGACCAGGACATCCTGTGACTCAGTTTCCATGATCAGAAGATTGCTCTGGACAACTTCCAAGACTATTTAAAATTATTTTGTTTTTACTTGCATTTTATAGTGTACTAAACTGGTGTTCATGACATTCTCACCCACGTGTACTTTGTATTGCCTTTCTCCACCCTTCCTCCTCACTGGTCTACTCTGTTACCCCAAAGAGTCCCCATTCCACTTTCGGTTGGCCTGGGAAGCACGGCGGTAAGTTGGCAGGCAGTGTTTATTTTCCCCTGGTACTGAGCTCACGCTGCTCTGGTCTATATGTTGACCCCAGCATATAGAATGTCTGGACCCCAGTATCCAACCCAGTAAAGCAGCCACGGAAGGATGAGTGACAGGACCAACGTAGCCCACTGTCCAGGTTGGTCAGAATTTCAAACAATAAGAATGTTCTATTTTGGGGCCTGGAGAGATGGCTCAGTGGTTAAGCACACTGGCTGCTCTTCCAGAGGACCTGGGTTCAATTCCCAGGACCCACATGGCAGTTTCAACAGTCGGTAATTTCTGTTGCAGGGGATGCAACTCCCTCACACAGACATACATGCAGGTAAAACGTCAATGTACATAAAGTACAAATAAATTATTATTTTTTAAAAAGACATTTTTCTCTTGAAGCCTGAGTGGGGCTGGTTATGTTTAGGTTCCATGGGGGATAGCCGGCCAGCCACGGTTGAATGTGTCTGTCGGTCAAGTCACCAGAGCTAGAGAGAGCTTTAAAAGTGTCTAGCATTTGGAGTAGGTTGACAAAGCTTCCTCAAAGAACTGGCAAGGTCCCAGTGTTACTGGCTAGTGCCCTGGTAGGAACTCTGGGGCCTGCCAGAGTTTAGAATGTGAAGGGTGGGAGCCATACCTGTTTGACATCCTCGTCTCCCGGGCAACAGTGGCCTGGTGCCTCGCCTGGATGCCAGTGTTCAGTGTTTGTGAAGGGGGGCGGGGGAGGGATCTATGCTGTGGTTAAAGTGTGGTGGTGAGGCTGTGAGTTCTGTTTTATTTGGGAAACTGTATTCTGAAGAACTGGATGATGGAAAATTCTAGATGGTTCTGCCCACAGCAAACTCAGGGGAAAAAAAGCAAAAAATGTGATTCTTTAATCATATACCTATTTTTGTAATGGCATTTATTGAGCAGATAATTTAATATTTGAATTGCTGTATTTACCTTAATAAATACAAACCACCCCAAACTGCTGTAATTCCTTGAACCCAAGGGAAAAACAAAACAAATAATATTACCTCTGCATCTCTTAGAATTCAACACACATGGGCATTAATGCAAAAGGACAAAATATAGCTTCCTGGATCTGTCATTGCTGCAAGTAGAAATGTGTATATTTTAAAGTTGTATGAGCACATTCTATGTGTAGATATCTATTTTCAATTCCTTTAACATTTTATCCTGAAAACCTGGAAACAAAATGGAATCATGAAACAACTTTCCTCACTATCTGGCACCTACACTGGGTGATTAGTACTATGGTGAATTTGCTAGCTATTATTACTGGAACAGTTACGAACATGGATGAGCATGTGTCTCTGTAGTAGGAAATAGTCCTTTGGATAAGTGTACTGGAAGGTTCTATGTAGGCTGCTGGGCTGGGTGGGAATGGTGTCGTCAATGACCTCACCCAGTTATGAACTACAGTAATGACCAAGTGTGAGGCTAGCCTGGGCTATGTTGTAGTGAGAGCTCTCTGGGTGGGGTAGTGGTGCAAATGCTGTGAGATTATTAACCAACCGTTAAAAATAGTTTGGATAACGCTTGATCCCCAAGGGAGCCCTAACCCCATCTGAATGGAAAAGAAGGAGTGGATGGGGGATAGAAAGGAGGTGGGGGGAGGGAGCAGGAGAAGAGGAGGGAGGGGAAACTGGTTAGTATGTAAAATAAAGGGAAAAAATAGTTTGGATATAAGAAAATGTGATTGGATTTAAGACCCACTCCCCAGAAGGAAATGCATGCCTGATACTGTATATCTGGCCAAGAGCCTACATTTGGGAAGTTCAGAGGCCCAGGGGTGAGCATATTATAATTTCTTTGCTAACTGGACATAGCATAACTGCCCTTTAAATCTCTATCTTTCCTGGTAGATGAGTGCAGCTCTCAGACCATATGACTTCCTTGTCACTGCCTGTCTATACAGACCTCCAGTCTCTATGGTTGGTACTGAGATTAAAGGTTCCAGTCACCGCTTGCCTGTGTCCTTGAACACACAGAGATTCTGCCTGCCTTGTGATCAGATTAAGGGCATGTGCCACCACCCCTGGGCTTCTGCTAAATGGCTTGCTCTTAGCTCTGATCTCTAGGCAACTTTATTAACATACAAATAAAATCACATTTCAGCACAAATAAAATATCACCATACTTGGGCAGTGGACAGTGGTTAGTCCAGAAACCCACAACTGATTAAAATGCAGAGGCTAAATTGCCAGCCGAGTACTTAGCCACAAACGGGACATCTATATCATAACCTCCCTCAAGGTTCAAAGACCATCATGGGAGAGGGTGTGTGTGTAAAGAACCAGAGGTTGTGGGGGACTGGAACTTAACAGTGTCTTCTGGACATGACAGGATCAGTGCTCTCATGAACTCATGGCAACTGGGTGCCTCCACAGGACCTGAGGAAGGTCAAACTAGTCAACAGTTCATCATGGAGTGGGAAGGAGTTCATAACCCCACACCCTTAGCTGAGGAGCTATAGACAGTTGGTGGCTTTTCCAGAAGGGGGAATCAGTTTTCTTTAAGGATGTGGCCCCCTAGCAGGTGGCCATGCTCCAGGGGATGACCCCATACCCCAGAGTATATGGGAAGCAAAACACAAAATCCCACAAAGTTGGGAGGGTAGGGAGGTAGGAATGGATCTGGGAGGAGCTGGAGGAGGCATGGAGGTGAATATGATCAAAATACTTTGAAATTCTCAAAAAAATAATAAAATAAAAATGTAAAAGATGTTCTCTTTTTGCTCAGTTGCACACATCTATGATCCCAACACTCAACTGGTTGAACAGGAGGATCTTAAGTTTGAGGCCTGAGCTACGTTGTAGTAAGATGCTGTCCCTACCCCCATCCCCCAAAAGTTTCTTTACTGAAGAAGGGTTTTGTACTGGAAATTTAACCCAGGCCACAGGATCATTCAACTTTTTGACATTGTGACATAATATCATCACCTTAAATGTATTGGGCTATCCTGCAGCTCAGGGCCCAGGGGTCATAGGCTGGACACTCTAGTACATCCTAAGCTAGAGTTTTTCCACTGAGATAGAACTTGACCTTCAATGTGATTTTTTTTTTTTTTTTTTTTTTTTTTTTTTTTTTTGGTTTTTCGAGACAGGGT